TCAATTCAAGAACAAATGCACTTATTTTAAGAAAAAATGACTTATCTAGATTTAGATTTTTTTCCAGTGTGTGAATTAATGCTATATGAATAAACTGAATTCAATTGTGTTTTAAAAGCTTTAAATAAAGAGTAAAACCAACAGATCTCATTTTTATTACATCCTAATAAAACCACCAAATCTTACTGGAATCTATTCCATCATAGAAGCTGAATGTAATGTCTTTGCCTGCTCTCTGCAGCAAAGGGAAAGCAAACGGCTGCCATATCGTTTTTTCTTCCTACCTTTACAGTAAACATGTTCTCAGCAGAGCAGACACCTTTTTATGTCGGGCTGGAATGTATAAATGTGTCTTTGAAGTCGCTGTGAGTGCTATGTGTGATGATTTTACAACACTTTATCGGTTTATCAGTGACCAAGCAAGACTGCCACGTTGGAACCATTCATGCCCCCCCCCCCGCACCTCTGTTAAAGCATCTTTTACGACCCGAGCAAATAAAAATAATCAGCAAAAGAATGCAATGTAAAAATAGACGTTAAGATTTATTCAGTCATTTTCACATTGTAAGGTAAACCCTTCCTGGTTTGTAAGGCAGTTCAGGTTACAAGGCACATTTTATCTGTTAAACCATGACAAAAAAAAAAAAAATACATCATACATATATATATATATATATATATATAAACTCTTTTTCTTTTTTTTTTTTGTAAAACCAACACAACACATCATTGGGAAACTGTGTGCCAAGCCTGGGTATCATGGGTCTAAATTTACAAAATATGGTCTTTTAGATTCTTTCATGTGAATATGCATTCAGCTTTGCATAAATAAAAAAAAAAACAACCTAAAAAGCTGAACTTTTTCAAGGGCTTTCCTTTAGCTTCTAAGTTTATCACCAAATAAACAAAGAACCGTGCTACATTAAATGTATGAAAATGTAAGGCTTGTTGTAACATTCATAAAATACTCACATGATCACGTCGCCACGGCTACGATGAGCCTCGCTGCGCATGCATATGTCATCTGATGATGACGTGCGTTTACAGAACCGTAAATGCCTGGAAAAACTGCAAAGCAGGTCGATTTTTTTCGGACTCATCCTGCAGCCACGGCTGCATTTTATGTACAAATATGTCCCTGAAGGCTATTGTAAGGAGCTTGTAATTACATTTTATATATATATATATATATATTTAGCTACTCTGAAGTTGCCAACAACATTGCTGACTAAGTATAAAGTTTTCACAATATAAAAAAAGCATAAAAGAAAAAGGATTTAAGCTTTTGTTATATGGCCTCTTGCTTGGTGATGGTTGGTTGGGGGATGGAGGTCGGCTGTTTTGGCACCGTGGCGATGACGCCCTGAGGGATTTTATAATGTTCTGATCCGGAGGCGGTGGGTGGAGACGGGATCGGGGTTTCAGGAGTGGCTGAAAAATAAAAATCAAACAGAAGGTTAGAGGCAGAACGGCAGTATGTAGGAAAAGTGGGGCAAGCTCGAGGGGGCTGATCAGTTTTTATGCAGAGAAAGAGTGAAAGGGTGACATTTCTCAGAGCATTAAACATGCTGGGAAAGAATAACAGGAGTTTGCTTGGACAGAATAAGGCCGATTAGTTTGCATGGAGAGTTTAAAGGATTATTTTCTGTTTTCTCCTGACGTGTTTGGCCTTATCGTTCCCATGAAAAGTATGGAAGCAAATCGTTACCATATTTCAAATGAAAAAGCATTTCCAGAAATGCTTTTTCATTTTCAAATTTTACATTTCAAATTGAATTTTGGCAGAGATGGCAAAAGTACTCACTTTCCGTACTTGAGTAAAAGTACAGATACTTGTGTTAAAAAATACTCTGGTAAAAGTGGAAGTACTGATTA